CTGATTTGTCATTTCAGCTTCCTGTTGTGGCATTTTTATAGATGATCTGTGAGCTGGAAGCCCTGAGGATGTGGAGTCATAAGGCTCTGGCCTGAGTGGAGAGGAGAGTAGCTTTACTGTTCACAGTACACGAAAGCAGAGGGTTTGGGTGCTGTATCTAGTGTCCCAGCCTGGGCTAATCAAGACATTGTGCTTTTATAGCAGAATGACAAGGAATGTGAGGAGTCTGGGATGTGGAAATTCTGGAGATGGTATTAAGATATGAGGAACATGAATAGTTGCTCCTGGCCTGAGCTTTGCTCCCCACAAAAGCACTGGCTGTGCTGGTGCTTTGTGAAGAGGCTGCAAAGTGCTTTCCATAATTACCCTTGTGTTTCTTCAGACCATAGGCTGGTCCTCACTCTGTTCTTTGGCAAGCACAGTGATGTGCTTTTCCTCTGGCTTGTGGAAGTTGACAGCTGAGTTCACTGGAGTAGGAAGGCAGTGTGTGCCTGGCTTTCATAGTATTTTACACACAGTTTTCCCTAGTAGGGTTCATGTGAAGAGGCAGTTGCTGAAACCTCTTGACAAAAGCAGTAAAGACCTGTAATAAGGATTCCTTTATAATTAAAATAATTCTTTTATACATAAATTTGATGTGGATACAAATAGAAATGTAACCAGTTTAGACTGTCATGTGATGACACTTCTTTTAGGTCCAGGTTTTGTGGTTATCTTGTGTACCAGTGGACAAATAAAAATCCTTGCAAATTCATCGTTTCTCTCTGAACTATGCTAGGTTTGTTTCATGCTTTTCCTAATATTTTGGAAGATTGTGTTGTTGATGTTTACTGCTGCTGGCAGAAACCTTGCAGTGACATCTTTTTCCCTCTCCAGGCAACTCTCCAGACATCACCAGCTGGCCATACAACTTCATTTCAGATGTTTAACAACACCTACAAGCTGTATTCATACAGAAAGGAAAGAGAGCTTACTGTGCAGCTAGAAGCTTTCTGTGAAGCCAGTGAGATCTAGATGTTTTGCTGTAGTGGCTTTCTTACAAATGAGTGCTGGGAAGAAGTGGAGAAGCCCGAATCATGTCCTTGGGGTGTATTGACCCTGGCTGCCCGCCAGGTGCCAACCAAGCCACTTTATCACTCTCCTTCCATCAGCAGGACAAGGGGAAGAAACTATGACAAAAAGTTCATGGGTCAGGGTAGGGATGGGGAGCTCACTCACCATTTACCATCGTGGGCAAAACCAATTTGATAAGTTCATTTAACTTATTGCTAATTAAACAGTAGGATAATAGAAATACAAAAAGAAATCAAATCTACCTTTTCCCCACCTCTCCCTTCTTCCCAGGCTCAGCTTCACGCCCAATTCTTCTACCTCCTCACCACCAGGTGGCATAGGAGAATGAGGGTTACAGTCAGTTCATAGAGCTTTGTCTCTGCCATTCCTTCCTCCTCACTGTCTTGCCCTGCTCCCAGTGTTTTGGGGAGAGGGAAGCAGCTTCTTGCCACCTAGGTTGGCTGTGGGGTGTATTTGGGCTCAAAAAGAGTTTGTTCTGTGTACTGGAGTCTGTGCTGCCTTTGAGGAGGGTAGGAGAAAGATTAGAGAAATGCCTTTAGCATTCTCATTTATTCAGGAGCCAGATTAACATCAACAGGTATTACCTGTGCTTTTTCAAAGACAGGCTATCCTTCGGGATGAGGGTAATATGAGAGTGAGTTGTCACAATGATCCCCATATGTGCATTAGCTATTGATTCAAGCTATTTTGCTGGGACCACGTAGAGGAGACTGGCATGTCCCAGCCAAGTTGTCAGTGGAGTATCAGAGGAATGATGTTTGTTGTTCACAGAGGCTTTTATCCCTTTGCAGTTACCTGGGACTCGGGCTGATGTCAGCAAGGCTTGCCATTTTAGGAGGAGTTGAGGGAAAACCCTGTAAGTTATGGGCATTCCTCAAGTCATGGCTCTGAGCATACAGTATGTTGTGGGGGGAGGAGTTGTCTGTCCCCTTCCCACTGGGCTCAAGGTTCCTGAGTGGTATGTGGACTCCTGTCACCATGACTGGGTGCGTTTGAGGCAAATGCATGGGGTGACACTGCTAGATCCCAGGAGGCCTGGATTCTTGCTAGTTGTTGGGGAGCATGGGACATCTGAGCCACGACTGGGGTGTGGTGGTGCCTGGCTGAGGCCGTGGGATGGTGTGGAGCAGGGCTGGGGCTGAGGGATCTGAAATTAACTCCTTATGTTTTTCCCTAATGTGGCTTTCGTTTTACTTCTGCAGTAGGAGAAGGGGAGGAATTAATCAGCCCTTGTTTACCACCTGGCTTCAAATCTGAATGGCAACATGCTGAGATAGTGTACAAAATTAAAGGACAGAAGGCAGGTATAGTGATTTATCATGCTTCCTGTCTGGGCCAGCATGCTATTAGCAGGGTAGATGTTATACTCTCAGCCTCTTGCAAATACACTAGGGTTCTCTGTTTACTGTTATGTCTGGCTCCTCTTGACCTGCTGTTAAAGAGATTCTGCAGCTCTTTTTCCTCTTGTGCCATGATGTGTCTGTGCAGCCAGTAAAGCTGCTCGTAGTTATGCAGATGGAGTTTAGCCAGCCCTGAACAGGTCATTGAAAATCCTTCTGCCTCAAATGATGTTGTCCATCTCTGATCCATTGCATACTTAGTCCCAACCTGAGGATGGTAAGTGTTGCCCCTGGAAGAAGATACAGATTTCAGTTCCCTGTGAAGAGCTTACAAAGTGCTATTATGCCAAGAGGAGCCCTGTTTCCTGGCAGATCCTAAATAAATTTATAAATTCTATGCATGTTTAACTCCCTGCCTTTAATTTGCTGTCCTTCTTTGCCTTCTTTTAGGTGAGCCTCTGTATGAGTCCTGTTCTAACAAAGTGGCAAAGATGCTCTTCAAAAAAGTGCATAAAGCTGAGGAAGTGAAGGACTTGGACTTTTACACTTTCTCCTACTACTATGACCGTGCAGCAGAGGTTGGACTCATAGGTACGTTTTAATTAATTTTAAATGACAAGTCATGGAAGAAATGGTGACACTTCTACATGTCACAATGCTTTACTAAGCTCTTGTGTAACTTAGTCTTTTGTTACACTGCTCTGCTGCATTGATCTCAGCTGAGTATTGAATGCTGTTTCATTTCTATAGAGGAGGAAAAGGGGCAGTGAAACAGCACCTGCAACTTCTGGTAATGGCCTCTAAACAAACTGCATTTCAAAAATGGTTGTTGTCTAATTAACTCTACAACCCAAAAGAGAAAAAAAGCCCTCATAATGATAAATGTGTTGGGCAGTAAAGCAGTAATGTAATCCTGGGCTGTGTGTTTTTTCTTCACTGCACTTTTTAGACGAAATTAAGGTTTTCAGATAATTCCACATATATTCAGAATGCATCCTACCTCTTTCCCAGTGGTATGCTGGTCTATAGAAGGCTGTCATGTTTGGTGGTAGAAAGCAGCTGATGAGATCTCAAGCTAATTTGGATAAACATACCCCCTTCCTCAGCCACTTTGTTCTACAAATAATTTCAGATTTAATATGTTACAGAGCACCACTGCCCTGTCAGATCTGGTCAAAGCTGCCAACTGTGTTCAGGCATTGCAGGGCAGGGCAGCATAAATAATGGGGACAAGATGAGAGAGTCTGTTTCTTTAAGCTATGTTTATTTAGGAAATGAAGCTAAAGTTCTTTAAAAAATGAGGCTTTTCAATCTATATGAAGAATCTTTCAAAGGTTCTTCTACCTATGAAATGTCAGTTTTGTTACTGTTTTCAGTGGCTCAAGTTTTGATTTAAAAAAAAATTATTACTTGAATTTACAATTGCCTTTATACAAAACCCATAAAATACTACATTTTCTTCTCTTTTAGATAAAGAAAATGGAGGAAGCTTAACCGTTGAGGACTTTGAAATTGCAGCCAAATACAGTGAGTAAAATACAATTACACATAGTAATTGTGTGTAAATTCATACCCAGGTGGCAAATGTGTGACACGCTAAGAAGCCTGAACTTTGAAGTAAATACTGAGCACCTCTTGCCATAGCATCTTGCCAAGATTTATGCTTATTTCTGAAAATCCCAGCTGTTTTTATATTAATTATTACTTTTACAAGCATCTTAAAATTCTTACATTTCAAGACTCTCTCAAGAATTCCTAATAAACTTGCCAGTCAACAGTTGTCCTGGAATCATACTTTCAAAACAGTTGTGAGAGTTCTCATCCTGTAACATAACCTCTTCTAATCTGGTTTCATTTTTCTTTTTGTCTCAAGATTTGTTCATATGCTCGGCTGTTAATCAGAAAAGCAAAAAAACCCAAAACTTCATAGCTTTTTGCTTCATCAGCTGCAGAGAAAATGGTCTACACAGATTTACAAATATAAATGTTATTTTCTTAATATCACAAACTCGGGCATTGATCAAACTCACTTGGGGCTTTTTGGTAAGCTTGATGCGTGACTGCAGAATTGTTGCAGTTCTGATTTCTGGGCTGCCATTTGTGTAATTCATCCTAAGAAAGGAAGTGGGGTTTATTTTGTCTTTCACTTTCCCTTTCCCTTCCTCTTCCTCTTGCCTTTTCCCTTTCACTTTCCCTTCCCCGTTCCCTTTTTCTTTGGTTTTGTCAACATCTGTTGAGTGCTTATGCTCAAGAAACATAGCACACCTGAGGTTGCTGAGATTTGTAAAGGCTTTCAAGGCCCTTTTCATCCTTTTCCAGAGAGAGACAAGAAACTCAGCTGTCTTAGGGGAGAGACACAAGGCCTTAAAACTTCCTTCCAGTGTGCCAAAGCTTTTGTACTTCTGCTAATGTGTGCATGTCATTTCAACCCCATTGGAATAGGTTCCCTCACTGCGCAACTCAGTGGACAAGAGGTGTTTCATGGGTTCGTCTGAGGTTTTTCAAAGCTGGGCTGAGCATGCAGTGTGCAATTCAGACACTGTTTTCTTTCTCCTTAGTATGTAAGACCATGGAAATCAGCCCTGGAAGCAGCCCTTTTCTCTGCATGGACCTCACGTACATCACCTTCCTCTTGCAAGAACTGGGCTTCCCCAAGAGCCAAGTCTTTAAGGTAAGGCACAACTTAGGGAGAGCAGGTAGGAGTGTGCCAAGGCAGTAGTTTGTCATGCTGGTAGCTCAGTCCTTGAGTTGCCTTCTTGCTACAACACATGCTCTGTGATTGAGGGTGGAGGGACATTGTCCCCATGATGGTGATCAACTGGTTGTGATAACCTTCAGCACTGTGTTCACCTTGCATGCTCTTCCTTCTCCCAGGCAGTTGTGGTTTAACTTTGTTGTTTGTTGCTTTGTGTTTGTTGTTTTTTTTTCCAGCTTGCCCAGAAAATCGACAATGTTGAAACCAGCTGGGCATTGGGAGCCACTTTTCATTATATTGACTCACTCAATAGACTGCAGTACTAAAGCTCCTTGAAGGTGACTTTTGGGAATTTTTTGTTTGTTTGTTTGCTTTGGAAGCCAAACACAGAACCTGTTGGAAGGGCCTGCTTTTGGCTTCTGGAGTCCTTTGGGAGGTCATAAGGTCCCCTTTCCTCCCTCCCCTTGCCAAGTCCCCTTGATGGCTAGCTCTTTTTTACAGTGCAAAGTGCAGTATCTGAAAGATAAACCTTGATTTGAGAGCATCTGCATTCAACTTGACATAACACTTCCTAATTGTTGAAGGAAAACCAGGACTCTGCAGGACAACTGTGATCTCTATGAGAAAAACACAGCTTTTTGGAATATACCTGTACAATGTGCTTGTACTGTGCTCAAGTCACTGTAGGAAAGGGTCACTCCAGAAAGAACTCTTTACTGTCCTGATTTCAGGGTGTTTTTCCTGTTTGTCAGCAGTTTTCAGTGATTATTTTTATTTTACTACTGCTGTGTTTGAAAGTGAACTTGTGCATGTGCTTGCAAAGACAGTGCATTTATAGAGATGTGCTGCTGGCAGGCAGCAGCTTTGAAATGCACTGTGGAAGTCAGCTCTGCTTTCCACTTGCTGAACTAGGAAAGCTCAGGAGCACTCGAGAAACTGGCATGAGTTGGAGCCTATATGCCCTGTAGGGTTAAAGCCTGCAGCGTAATGTTGGTTCCCTGGCTGTTGAGGGACGGACGGACGGACGGATGGATGGATGGATGGATGGCTGGATGGATGGATGGATGGATGGGGACATCAGATTTGCTGGATGAGAAAGGCCTGGGAGCTGGTACAGGGCTAATGATGGGTTGGATAGTTCTAGAGTCAGTCAGGATAAGATTGATGAACAAGACACAGCCACAAAAATAAACACCAAGTACTATTCTTGGACCTCACAGACATCTGTGCCTCCGTGAGGTTGATGTGGGGGCTGGGATGAGCGCATTTACATTGTGTCTTGGGTGCTGCTTCCTCCAGACACATCTCACTGATGAATGAATGTATAGTGGTTGCACTGAGCCATGGCAGAGTACCTGCACTGTACCACTCCCAACAGCCTTGTCCATGGGCTGGAAACAATCTTGGAAGCAACAGAAGCTGGACAGGACACACTGTGGTATTTGTAATCTAACTGTGGAATTGTGTTGTATTTGTATGGATGTTTAGAGCAGACCCAAGTGATCTTTTGGGGATGCAGAAGAGCCCAGCCTACCTGGCAGCTAGCAGTGTTTGCCCCCAACACGCAGGCTTGTGGCCACAGCCTCCTTTCCTGGGGGCAGAGACGTGGTGTGGCAGCCCGCGGTGCTGCAGCCGAGTGTACAGGGGACACTCGAACCCCCCTGCACTGACAATAAAACCCCAATTTAAAAGGAAAACAGCGTGGTGGTGGCAGTGTGGCTTTTAGCGCCAGAGCCTACAGGGTGGCTGGGTGGCTTGAGAAATGAGCGCCCTGACGCCATCCCCCTGTGTCATCTCGCTCTACCCACACC